CCCCCCCCCCCCCCCCCACCCCCGCCCCAGACAGGCCTAAAGAAATGACAGCACTCTTGAGCGGCAGTCCTTTAGGCTCTGCAGCCTCTCCCTGTCCCAAAAGGCGAATCTAAACAACCCCTGAGAGTGCAGGGTGAAAAGAGATGCAAATCCCCTCAAAGGATACCTACCCTAACCTATTCACATTTTCCCTTCTGTGTTAATCAACCTGGAAGTAAACAAACCTTGGTTGGTTTTTAAGTCCCCCCCTCCCCGCCTTTGTTTTGCTCTTTTAGAAAAAATATTCATTTGAAAAAAAGAACAGAGAGAGAGGAGACCCAGAGAGAAAGGGCTCAGCCAACTGTCGGTTGACTCCCCAAACGGCTGCAACAACTAGTCCTGGGCCAGGTCAAAACCAGGAACCAGGAACTCCATCTGGGTCTCCTACGCAGGTGCAGGGGCTCGAGTCTTTGGGCCACCTTTCACAGCTTTCCCAGGTGCATTAGAGGGAGCTGGATTGAAGTGGAGCAACTGGGACTTGAACCAGTGCTCTGATGTGGGATGCAGATGTGAGAACTGCAGTCTGGGGCCAGCGCCATGGCACAGTAGGTTAATCCTCCACCTGCAGTGCTGGCATCCCATATGGGCCCTGGTTCTAGTCTCGGCGGTTCCTCTTCCAATCCATCTCTCTGCTGTGGCCTGGGAAAGCAGAAGATGGTCCAACTCCTTGGACCCCTGCACCCACATGGGAGACCCAGAAGAAGCTCCTGGGACCAGCGCCGCCGCTCACTAGGCTAATCCTCCGCCTGCGGCGCCAGCACACTGGGTTCTAGTCCCGGTAGGGGCGCCGGATTCTGTCCCGGTTGCCCCTCTTCCAGGCCAGCTCTCTGCTGTGGCCCAGGAGTGCAGTGGAGGATGGCCCAAGTACTTGGGCCCTTCTCCCCATGGGAGACCAGGAGAAGCACCTGGCTCCTGCCATCGGATCAGCGTGGTGCGCCAGCCACAGCGCACTGGCTGCAGTGACCATTGGGGGGTAAACCAACGGAAAAAGGAAGACCTTTCTTTTCTTTTCTTTCTTTTTTTTTTTTTTTTGACAGGCAGAGTGGACAGTGAGAGAGAGAGACAGAGAGAAAGGTCTTCCTTTGCCGTTGGTTCACCCTCCAATGGCCGCCGCGGCCGGCGCGCTGCGGCCGGTGCACCGCGCTGATCTGATGGCAGGAGCCAGGAGCCAGGTGCTTTTCCTGGTCTCCCATGGGGTGCAGGGCCCAAGCACCTGGGCCATCCTCCACTGCACTCCCTGGCCACAGCAGAGGGCTGGCCTGGAAGAGGGGCAACCGGGACAGAATCCGGCGCCCCCGACCGGGACTAGAACCTGGTGTGCCGGCGCCGCTAGGCGGAGGATTAGCCTAGTGAGCCGCGGCGCCGGCCAGGAAGACCTTTCTCTCTGTCTCTCTCTCTCACTGTCCACTCTGCCTGTCAAAAAAAAAAAAAAAAAAAAAAAAAAAAAAAAAAAAAAAAAGCAGCAGCAGCAGCAGCAGCTCCTGGCTTTGGATCAGCTCAGAACCGGCCATTGCGGCTATTTGGGGAATGAACCAGCAGATGGAAGACCTTTCTCTCTGTCTCTCCCTTTCACTGTCTGTAACTCTACCTCTCAATAAATAAATAAAATTTTTAAAAAAGTTAATAACAAATTAAAGTTCAAAAAAAAAAAAAAAGCCTCAGTTTAACCGGCTGAGCCCCAGTCCTTTTTCATGTTAAAAATGTTATGTCTTCTGAACATTTTGTGTCTTTTGTTTCAAATTTTGAGTGCTTTTTAAATTATATAATTAACAGTAGATTATGTGTGTGTGAGTTTTTGAAGGGCAGAAAAGTATAAGAAAGGAAAGAAAATCTGTTGTTGATACGCCACTCATGAAAATCTCTTCACCTGGGGGAGTCCACGTTGATTGTCAGCCATTGTCACAAGCAGCTGATATTACAGGCTCAGAGGACTCTATGGTACTGTCAACTTATAAGTTTTATTTCAAAGGCAAGCCAGTATTTGTTCCTTTACAAACTAGGATCTTTTATTCTTTTATTACAAAAAGAATCCAGTTGTTGTGAAATACACAATGAAAACCTTCTGATTATTGCCAAAAGAGAAGTCATCCCATCTGAAGAAATCCCATCTAACATTTTTTTCTCATACTGCAGTCACGAGAGAACTCTGGCTTTTTATCAGATACTTTTCTAACATTAACTCTCTTCACCTATAAGTCTGTGCAGGGTGAAGCTAATTTAAAATCTTTTTACATAAATAGTTTAGGAATATAATTGGTGGTCCAGATTCTTAGGCTCCTGTGGCTTTGGCAGCTGTCCCTGTTGAGGAACTGAATGAAGAGACACAGTGTGAAGGGGAACCCTCCCCCTGCCCCTCCCCCCCAGGCTGCATCCGCTTCCTCTGCTCTGATGTCAGACATTCCCATAGCGATGAAACCACCGGGTTATTTTGGGAGCCAATTTTAATGATCGCTCATTCCTCATCTGAAGGAAAAGGTGCCTCCACAAGTGCAGGGTGATGCAACTGTAATTGCTCTGTGAGGATGTGGCTTAAATCAGACAGGATGTCAGACCCACCGCCGCTTTCTGGAGGGGAGTTGAATACAGGGACCCTGCCCGGCTTGGCGGATGTGGTGCTGTGACCCTCAGAGGGCTCCGCGAAAGAACCAGCGGGGACATGCCAGCTTCCTGGAGGACAGCTGCGGAGAAGGAAGTCAGCTTCCTCTGGAATCACAGTGCAGGATCCCGGATGTTCCGATCCTCAAGTCTGGAATGAGATTCAACCAATCTCAACTCTCTTTTCCAGGACAATAATTCAAATGCTTGTCACTTGTCATCATTGGTCTTCACCCCTCCTCTTCTTCTGATTTCTTCTCCCCAGTGGAAAATCCCTGCGTCATCCTTTTCTTGTCAGAAGCTTTGCAAAGATTACCAGCAGGAAATTTAAACACAAGAGTGACCCTTTGCGCTACAGTGATCTCAGAGTTGCAATAAGAACATGTGGGAGCTATACAGTCATCTTTTCTTTCTTCGTGTTTATTTGTTTTCATCTACTTGAAAGGCAGACACACACACACACACACACAGAGAATATCTTCCATTTGTTGGTTCACCTCCCAAATGTCCACAACACCCAGGGCTGGGCTAAGCTGAAGCCAAGAGCCCTGAACTCCATCTGGATCTCCCCCATGGGCAGCAGGGGCCCACGTAGTGAGCCATTGTATGCTGCCTCTCGGGATGCACTGGCAGGAAGATGAATCAGAAGGGGAATGGCTGGGACTTGAATTTGGGATGTGGGTGTCCCAGACTTCACTGTTGCGTCACAACACCCACCCTGGAGCCATCTTAGTCTGCCCATCACTCTTCTCTGATTCACTCTTCTCAGGAGTAGGGCAGCTTCTGGAAAGCTTACAATTTGCCTGAAAAGAATGAGCTATATGCATGACACAGCCCTGGGTTTCGACTTATTTTAAGATATTGTAAACTATAATTATTGGTTCATCAGTGTGCTTTGTGTTTTTTTATACTCCCAGGGAGCAAAGACTCTCTCTTCTGTAATGTGCTGGCTATTTGTCCCTGCTCTTGTCCAGGCTTACTCTGAACAGAAAGATCTTGGAATTGCATTTGACACAAGCCTTCACCTTTACAGAGTGGGAGACCGAATTAATTTGGGGAGTTTATTTATTTATTTTTAAGGTTTAATTATTATTTGAAAGAGTTACACAGAGAAAGGGGGAGACAGAGAGAGAGATCTTTCATCCGCTGGTTCACTCCCCAGATGGTCGTAACAGCTGGGGCTGGGCCAGGCCAAAGCCAGGAGCTTCTTCCAGGTCTCCCACATGGGTGGCAGGGGTCCGGTACTTGGGCCATCTGCTGCTGCTTTTCCCAGGCCATCAGCAGGAAGCTGGATTGGAAGAAGAGCAGGTGGGACATGAGCAGGTGCCCACACGGGATGCTGGCATTGTTGGCAGCTGCTTTACTCACTATGCCATGATGCCAGCCCCTCATTTTAGGATTTTAGAGCTGGATTATAGGGACTGTGATTTCTAGTCTCCCAGCTTTATGAAGGGGAAACTCAGCCTCTGGGGGTCCTCCAAGGTCACTTTTCTGTTTTTTATTTTTTTCCCTTTTTTTTTTCTTTTATTTTTTTTTCATTTTTTTTTTCTTTTCTTAAAGGTCACTTTTCTAATTACAAATGGAACAGGGACATCATCTGAGTGCCAGGCCAATGCCATCTTGCCACACAGTAGGTAGGTTCGACAAGTTTTGCTTGATAGTCGTCAAGTAGATTGGATTGGCCATGAGCTTTTTCAAGTCTCTCCAACGATAGATACCAAGGGTCTTGGTAATTCCATAAACAACAATAACTTAATATTTTCTCTTTCACCATTTTTATACTAACCTTCAATTTCAAGTTATATCAAACCATATTTCATATAATTCCATAGATTTGAACATATCATAACCCACATTTGAGTTCTATGAGTTTGGGGCCAAACTTAGAAACTGACAAACTTAGATGCCCTTCAAACTTAGTTTATGAACTATTAAAAAAAATTTAGGTGGCTGCCATTGTGGTACAGTGGGTTAAGCAGCTGCCTGCCACAAATGGGCATCCCTTATGAGCACTGGTTCCCATATGAGTCCCAACTGCTCCACTGCCAGTAGCTCCCTGCTGACAGAACTGGGAAGGCATCAGAGGATGGTGCAAGTACTTGGGACCCTGCTGCCCATGGGAGACCCAGATGGAGTTCCAGCCTCCTGGCTTCAGTCTGGCCCAACCCTGGCTGTTGAGGTCATTTGAAAAATGAGCCAGCAGATGGAAGACTCTCTCTCTCTCTTTCCTTCCCTCTTTCTCCCTTCCTCTTTCTCTTTAATTCTGTGTTTCAAATACATAAATAAATAAACCCCTAAAAAAAAGCAGTTCTCTATACTGTCCACAGTGCATGAGCTCGGATTTAGGAATTTGGGGTAGACATCCGGCCCAGCAGTGAGGACTCCAGTCAAGGCAGCCGCAGCCAGAGTCAGAGGGCGTGGTGTGAGTTCTGGCTGTGCTCTGACTCTAGCCTCCTGCTAGTCTGCACTCCAGGAGGAAGCAGGTGACAGCTCAAGTACTGGCCTTAGTACTGCTCATCCATCTGGACCGAGTTCCCTGCTCCTTCTCCAGCCTAGCCCAGCCCTGGCTATTGCAGGCATTTGGATAGTGAATCAGTGGATAGGGGTATCCTTCTCTGCCTTTCAAAAAGAATAAATAGTTCTGGGGGCCAGTGCTGTGGTGCAGTGGGTTAACGCCCTGGACTGCAGTGCCGGCTTGAGACCCGGCTGCTCCACTTCCCATCCAGCTCTCTGCTGTGGCCTGGGAAAGCAGTAGAAGATGCCCCAAGTCCTTGGGCCCCTGCACCCGCATGGGAGACCTGGAAGAAGTTCCTGGCTCCTGGCTTCGGATTGGCACAGCTCCAGCCATTGCAGCCAATTCGGGAGTGAACCAGCGGATGGAAGACCTCTCTCTCTCTCTCTCTCTCTCTCTCTCTGCCTCTCCTCTCTCTGTGCAACTCTGACTTTCAAATAAATAAATAAATCTTTTTAAAAAATAAATAGTTCTTACTGATTGAAATTTCTGGAGAGAAAAGCCTTTTCTTTTCTAATTTTCCATCATACAGGTGGGCACAAATGATATAATTTCTCTTTCGTGTATATTTAGGTGGTTTCAGATTTTAGCTATACAACTTATATCATACCATGGTATTAATCATTCCTTTATATAGCTTTCATATTTCCCCAGAAAATATTCATGGAAATGGGATTACTGTGCCAAACTGTGTGAATTATTTTTTTAAAGATTTAATTGGGGCTAGTGCTGTGGGACAGTGAATTAAAGCCCCAGCCTGCAGTGGTGGCATTCCATATGGGCAATGGTTCTAGTCCCGGCTGCTCCACTTCCATTCCAGCTCTGTGCTATGGTCTGGGAAAGCAGTGGAAGATGTCCCAAGTCCTTGGGCCCCTGCACCTGCATGGGAGGCCCAGAAGAAGCTTCTGGCTCCTGGCTTCGGATCAGCTCAGCTCTGGCTGTTGCAGTCATTTGGGGAGTGAACCAGTGGATGGAAGGTCTCTTTCTCTCTCTCTCTGACTCTGACTCTCTCTGTAACTCTGTCCTTTAAATAAACTAAATAAATCTCTTATTTATTTATTTGAAAGAGAGTCAGAGAGAGCTCTACGACATCAAGTGGTTCACTCCCCAAATGGCTGCAACACTGGGGCAGAGTCAGTCCAAAGCCAAGAGCCAAGAACTCCATGCATGGGTGGCAGGAACCCAAGTCCTCGAACCATTGCCCGCTGCCTTCCAGGCATTATCAGGGAGCGGACAGAAGGCAGAGCAGCCAGGACTGATGCCAGGCGTGCTCTGGCTGTGCTCCTGGTTCTGGCCTCTTGCTAATATGTACTCTGGGAGGACACAATGATGGCTCAAGTGGTGGCCTAATTGCTGCACACAAGGCTGCCCCCTGAGGGAATGTTTTTGAAAACCAAATTGCTTTCTAGAAAGCCTTTAAGAAATGATTCCCCTTCCAGAAGATTAGGTTATGTGATGAAAACCCACACATCCACATTGATTTAGCTCTGTGTGCCAGTCAGTATTATTTCATGACTGAATTTAATACAACAATCCGGTGCAGTCCATAGCCTGATTCTTATTTTATAGAGGAATCAACAGAGGCCCAGAGAAGTTAAGTCATCAGCCCAAGAACTGGAATTAATTCCTGGTCCTTCTCTCTCAAGTTTATGCTCTGTTTTGTTTTGTTTTGGCTGCTTTTGGACTGCAAGTGTCAAGGTTTGAGTTCAGTGTTGGCCTGGGTTCCTGAACCATTGTCGTCATTGGCTGCCCTCTACCAGGCCCTTATCTTTTTCACGTAATAGAGCCATGCACATGCTGGATGAACCACATGAAATTTCCCATATTCAAACACTTTTCAAACTAGAAACCCAGCAACTTCCTATGTGTCCAACTTAATACTTAAGTTACAGGGTTTAGCCAGCGCCGCAGCTCACTAGGCTAATCCTCCGCCTTGCAGCGCCGGCACACCGGGTTCTAGTCTGGGTCGGGGCGCCAGATTCTGTCCCGGTTGCCCCTCTTCCAGGCCAGCTCTCTGCTGTGGCCAGGGAGTGCAGCGGAGGATGGCCCAGGTCCCTGGACCCTGCACCCGCATGGGAGGGAGACCAGGAGAAGCACCTGGCTCCTGCCTTCGGATCAGTGCGGTGCGCTGGCCGCGGCGGCCATTGGAGGGTGAACCAACGGCAAAAGGAAGACCTTTCTCTCTTTCTCTCTCACTGTCCACTCTGCCTGTCAAAAAAAAAAAAAAAAAAAAAGTTGCAGGGTTTATCGCACTGTGTTAAACACAATACAGTGGAGTCTGTCTGGGTCTCATCTTTGCAGTCAGCACTTGGGTTAGACACTCAGGAAAAGAAGACAGATCTTGGGAATCACCACCCGTCTGAAAAGGAAATGAGAACAAGCTCTCCTACCTTGAACTGTATTACCAACTTTAACCATGGAGGCAGTTCTGATCTAGATTCTTAGACCATGTTGACGATTTTGAAGTTATGTGTTAAGGCCAGCACCGTGGCACTGTGGCATAGCGAGTAAAACCACCGCCTACAGTGCTGGCATCCCACATGGGTGCTGGTTCGAGACCCGGCTGCTCCACTTCCAACACAGCTCTCTGCTATGGCCTGGGAAAGCAGTAGAAGGTGGCCCAAGTCCTTGAGCCCTTGCACCCATGTGGGAAGCCCAGAAGAAGCTCCTGACTCCTGGCTTCGGATCGGCGCAGCCCCGGCCATTGCAGCCATCTGGGGAGCTCTCTCTCTGCCTCTCCTCTCCTAATTCTTTTATATAAATAAATAAATCTTTAAAAAAATTATGTATTTATGTATTTGAAAGGCAGAATGACAGAGAGGGAGAGCCAGATCTTCCATCTGCTGGTTCCCTCTCCAAATGGCCATACAGTTAAGGCTAGCAGGAAGCTGGATCAGAAGTAGAGGAGTTAGAGCTCAAATGGGCACTGATATGGGATGCTGGCGTTGCCAGTCAAGTGGCGACTTAGCCTGCTGTGCCACAAGGGCAGCTCCTGGATGATGATTCAGGAACACTGCTCAGTGGAGACCAACTCCCAGCAGTGCTCACAGAATCCTAACATTTCAGGGCCATCACTGTGGCATAGCAGGTAAAGCTGCCACCTGCAGTGCTGGTTTGAGTCCCTACTGCTCCTCTTCTGATCTAGCTCTCTGCTGCGGCCTGGGAAAGAAGAAGATGGCCCAAGTCTTTGGGCCCCTGCATCCACGTGGGAGACCCGGAAAAAGCTCCTGGCTCCTGGCTCTGGATCGACTCAGCTCCTGCCGTTGTGGCCAATTGGGGAATGAACCAGCGGATGGAACACCTCTCTCTCTCTTTTTCTCTCTCTCTTTCTCTTTTTCCTCTCCTTCTCTGTCTTACTCGGACTTTCAAATAAATAAATAAATAAATCTTAAAAAAAAAAAAATCCTGGCCAGCGTCGTGGCTCACTTGGCTAATACTCCGCCTGCGGCGCTGGCACCCCGGGTTCTAGTCCTGGTTGGGGCACTGGATTCTGTTCTGGTTGCTCCTCTTCCAGTACTGCTCTCTGCTGTGGCCCGGGAAGGCAGTGGAAGATGGCCCAAGTCCGTGGGCCCTGCACCCCATAGGAGACCAGGAAGCACCTGGCTCCTGCCTTCAAATCAGCCTGGTGCGTGGGCTGCAGCGCGCCGGCCACAGCGGCCATTGGAGGGTGAACCAACAGCAAAAGGAAGACCTTTCTCTCTGTCTCTCTCTCTCTCACTGTCCACTCTGCCTGTAAAAAAAAAAAAAAAGTACAGCTTAGCTGCTTATCACACACGCACAACTAGGTTGGATGACAGGTTAATTTGTTTCACTTCAGTAAGCGTTTTACTATATATGTCCACCCCAAACATTATATCAAAAATTTCAAATATGCACCAAAGTTATTAGAAAAAGGAAAACCCGGAGTCCACAGGAATACCTCCAGTTCCAGTGTAACAGCACAAGGGCTCCTCCCTTCCCGGGTCTGTAACTCCATTCTCCCACTGGGACACCTGGCTCCCTCATGCTGCATACACTTAGTTATTGGGTCAGTCACCCTTTACGCTGCTGGCCTCTCATGGAAGCTTCCGTTCCTCGTCTCCTTGGGCTAGAGGACCGTGGAGGGCTGCAGCCTTGGCCTACCAGCCGTTCTCCCCGCCTCGGGGTTCTCAGCTTCCTCACCTGCCAGGTCACCAGGTGCACGTGGTCCGACTTCCTTCTGCACACCTGACGTCTCTGGGATTGAATATTTTAGCAAGGAGAAGGGTAGGAGGAAGACTGTAAATTTCTGAATAAGGATTGTGGCCATTATTCATTATTCATGTCTCATTTCTTCAGTAAGTTTTATAGAACTGGAATTATCGGATGCAAGAGGGTTTTTTTTTTTTTTTTTTTTTGACAGGCAGAGTGGATAGTGAGAGAGAGAACAGAGAGAAAGGTCTTCCTTTGCCGTTGGTTCACCCTCCAATGACCGCCGCGGCCGGCACGCTGAGGCCCGCGCACTGCGCTGATCCGAAGCCAGGAACCAGGTACTTATCCTGGTCTCCCATGGGGTGCAGGGCCCAAGCACTTGGGCCGTCCTCCACTGCACTCCCGGGCCACAGCAGAGAGCTGGCCTGGAAGAGGGGCAACCGGGACAGAATCCGGCGCCCCGACCGGGACTAGAACCCGGTGTGACGGCGCCGCAAGGCGGAGGATTAGCCTAGTGAGCCGCGGCGCCGGCCGCAAGAGGGTTTTTAAGGCTCTTTAAAAAATGATCAATCCGCTCTCCAAAACTGCCTGCCGATTTACAGCTTCACAAGCACTGAGTACCCAGCTTCCCGTATTACTACAAAAAAACGACGCATAAATACATATGCCAGTTTGTTAGGGGCAAAGAATCTGAAAAGTTTTCTGTTCTCGCATGCTGCTTCTCTCCTGCACACAAGAAGGGGTCCTTTTCCCTATTTATTTTATTATTTCCCCTCCATCAACGTGGAGGCCCGGTGGGGCGCCAGTCTCCTCAGGCGAGGAAGGCCCCACGACACCGGGCGCCTTCGAACTCACCTCGCCGCTCGCGGGAGACTCACATCGCTTTCCCAGCGGCTCCCCGTGGAGCCTCACGGCAGCAGAGGGCGCCATGGAGCCCGCGCAGAGCCCCGCCCCCAGGACAGCGCACCGCGTGACGTATTTCCGCGTCATCTGCCTCCGGGCCGTGCTCTCATTGGCTGTCGGCGAGGCGATGGGGGCGGAACCGAGCGGGTGTGTGGCCAGCGCCGCAGCCCGGTTGGGGGCAAGGCTTCCCCCTTCTCCGCCCCTCCCCCGCCCTCCAGTCCCTCCCCGGGGCGGCTGCGCGGAGCTGCTGGGAGCGCGGCGGCGGCGGCGGCGGCGGCTGCACTTTCGCGGGCTGGGGCCGGCTCGGGGCTCCGGTGCGCTCGCGGCGGGGTTGTCGGAGCCTCAAGGGCTGGCTGGCGGAAGGAGAGAGGGAGGGACTCCCGGGCTGCAGAGCCTCTCCCTCAGCCTGCTCCGCCCGCGCCGGCGGGGCAGCCCCGGGGCTCCCTGCGTGCCGAGCCGAGTCCCGGCCGGGTGGGGCGGGGGTGCGCCGACACCGCTGCCGGCCCCTCGGCTCTGAGCGGCCCGCGAGCGGAGCAGCCCCGGTTCCGCGGCCCCGGCCCCGCGCAGCGGACGCAGGGCAGCGCCGAGGGAAGGAAGCGAGAGGGGCCGCCCTCCCCGCCTCCGAAATGCCCAAGAAGAAGCCGACGCCCATCCAGCTGAACCCCGCGCCCGACGGCTCGGCGGTGAACGGCACCAGCTCGGCGGAGTGAGTGCGGGGCGGGCGGTCGCGTCCGCGTCGGGCCGCGGGGGGCGCCGAGCGGCCGCCGCGAGGCCCGGTGACTAAGCGCTGACGGGGCGCCTGACTCAGTCCGGCTGGCGGCCCCGGCCGCGCGGCTCTTCCCGAGGACCGGGCGCGGGGCCGCCCCCTCCCCCACCGCCGTGATGCTCGGGGTCCCGGCCCGCGAGCCCCCGACGGCCGGCGGGGCGTGGAGCCGGCGCGCGCGAGCCGCGTGCTCACCTGCGTGCCTGACACCTGTGGGGCCGGCGGCTGCGCGGCGCGCGCAGGCGTGTGTCCACGCGGACTTCCCCCGGGCTTTCCCTGGCCGACTTCGGGGGCGCCCGGTCCCTGGCCTGCTTCCTGGGAACCGTCTTGCTCCAGGAAGGCAGCCCTCCTCGTCGTCTTCATTCATTCAACAAACCTTCCCGTCACCCAGGTTACCTGCCCTGGCTTTGCCCCCTGAGCTACATACCCGCGGTGCTGACGCCACACGCAAGCTGCTCCGGATCTGCCCACCAAACACTGAGCACTGATTTCATGAAGTCACCACCAGGCCGTTTCGTGGGGGGTTGTACCCCCTCCCTCCCCCGCCGCCCCTTTGCTGGGTGCAGAAATGAACAGGGCAGGCTAGGTTCTTAATCTTTGACCTTAGACACTGGCTGGTGAAGGACCTTCTGCCCTTGGGTCATTTCTGACTGTTCCCTTAGGTTTTCCCAGTCTTGGGGGGAGGGAGCTTGGGGCCTTGGTGCTGACCCCTGTAGGGGTCACTAGGCCCCACCCTGTGGTGTGAGACCAGTCAGGCTGAGACCCGCCCCCAACAGATGTTCCTGGGAAGGTCTCCCTGGAACAGGTCTGTCTGGCGTGGTGTTGTCTTGTACAGGTCCTTGTAGGTTGCGTCGCAGAGGCTTGGATGAGTTTTAGTGTTTAGTAAGGGAGCCTGGAATCCCCCCATCCTCCCCCAGCCCGCGGTGGGGGGACAAGGGATTCCTCAGTACTGCTCAGGACAAGGTCTGGCCCCTGTGTGTGTCCTGGCCTGATGATCCTTTTCCTACTTGATTTGGAAATACCTGTTGTTCTGCTGTGGGGTAATTGCAATTCCCCAGCGGTATTCTTGCAGAAGGAGAGGAATTGCATTTAAAGAACAGAGCGAGATGAGGATAAGAAGAACTAGCCCAGAGATAGTGGCAGAAGAAATTTGGGGTGGGACTGGGAGGTACTGAACAGTGGTTAGTTTAGAAGCTGGGCCGCACAGTCAGGCAAGGTTAGAAGCCTGGCTCTGTCACCTGTGGTTTTGCGACTTGTGACTTTTTTAAAATTTATTTGAAAGGCAGAGTGACACAGAGATCTTCCATCCACTGGTTCTTTCCCCAAATGCCTGCAACAGCCAGAGCTGGGCCAGGCCAAAGCCAGGAGCCAGGAGCTCCATCAAGATCTCCCATGTGGGTGACAGGGTCTCAGTACTTGAGTCAAAACCTGCCTCCTGGGTGCCCCAGCAGGAAGCTGGATCAGAAGCAGAGACAAGACTTGATCCCAAGCACTCCCCGTATGGAATGTGGGAATCCCAAGCAGTTTAACCTGCGGCACCACAACCCCATCCTTTGGGATAAGTGTTTCAGTCTTTGTAGGGGTTAGATTTATTTTTTTCAAGATTTATTTATTTGAAAGAGTTAAACATCTTTCATCCGCTGGTTCACTCCCCAATTGACCACACTGCCAGAGCTGCGCTGATCTGAAGCCAGGAGCCAGGAGCATCTTCTGGGTCTCCGATGTGGGTGCAGGGGTCCAAGGGCCCAGGCTGTCTTCTGCTGCTTTCCCAGGTGCATTACTAGGAAGTAGATCAGAAGTGGAGCAGCCAGGACTTCAGCCGGCGCCCAGATGGGATGCTAGCGTCAGAGGTGGCTGCTTGCCTTGGTATGCCACAGCGTTGGCTTGGCTGTGTGTGTTAAGGCGCTGTTGCTTCTGGACAAACAGCCCTCCCCAGCTCCTCCGTTTCCATGTTGTCTGGGTGCACCTCCATGACTATTGGCTGTGTTACCTTAGGAGGCATCTTTGAGTAGGCTGCTTGAGACAAACTGGGCCTGTTCCCCCACATTGCTAGCGCTGATGAGGGGGAGGCTGTGCACAGCTTTGCATCTCACCCCTCAGAGTGCTCCTGGGGCCCTGACTTGGGGAGCAAGCAGGAAGAAACTCTGCTCTCATGATTTCTGTGATGAGACCAGGACATAATTTTGCACATCAGACAGTGTGAACAACAGAAGAAAAAAATGAAGAGCTCCTCCTTCCGAATCGGCAAGGTTGCTTTTCCCTGGTGCCTGGGGTTATCTCTAATATACTCATGCATGGATTTCAGAACACTCGTTTTGCAGGAAAAGTTTGATCTTTTAGTTTCATTTTCCTTTAATCTTTTGATGTACCCTTATAAGTTCCCTATTCAGACATGGAGCTGGGCAGTGTGGGGCCTGAAATGTATGCAGTTCTGAAAGTGCTCTTTTAAAGAAAAAGAATACAAACATACATTTTACAAACTTTGCCAAAACACATAAGCTAGGGGCCTATGTGTTACAATGAAATAAATTGGAGCAAGACCATGTCTCTTTTTAAAATGTTTTTCTGGGCAGGTGTTTGGCACAGTAGCCAGGAGCTTGGGATACCTGCATCCCATGTCAGTGTGCTTGGGTTTAAGTCCAGCTCCATTCCAGGTTCCAGCCTCCTGCTCATGTGCACCCTGGGAGGCAGCAGGTGATGGCTCAAGGAGCTGGGTTCCTGCCACCCTTGTGGGAGACCCAGATGGAGTTCTGGGTTCCTGGGTTTGGGGGGTGAACCAGCAAATGGGTCTCTGTGTGTCTGTGTGTCTTTATATTTCCAAGAAATAAAAAAAGGAAATTTTTTTACACCAGCATTGTGGCCCAGTGAGTTAAGCCACCGCTTGCAATGCCAGCATCCCATATGAGTGCCACTTCAAGTCCTGGCTGCTGCACTTCCAGTCCAGCTCCCTGCTAATGCACCTGGGAAAACAGCAGGAAATAGAGGAGACCTGGATAGAGTTTCTGGATTCTGGTTTGACCTGGCCCAGCCCTGAACGTTGTGGCCATTTGGGGAGTAAGCCAGTGAATGGAAGATTGTGTGTGTGTGTGTGTGTGTGTGTGTGTGTATGTATCCATCTATTTGTAACTCTGCCTTTCAAATAAATAAAATAAACCTGTTTTTTTTTTTTTTTTTTTTGGACAGGCAGAATGGACAGTGAGAGAGAGAGAGAGAGAGAGAAAGGTCTTCCTTTGCCGTTGGTTCACCCTCCAATGGCCGCCGCGGCTGGTGCGCTGCAGCCGGTGCACTGCGCTGATCCGATGGCAGGAGCCAGGTACTTATCCTGGTCTCCCATTGGGTGCAGGGCCCAAGGACTTGGGCCATCCTCCACTGCACTCCCTGGCCACAGCAGAGAGCTGGACTGGAAGAGGGGCAACCGGGACCGAATCCGGCGCCCTGACCGGGACTAGAACCCGGTGTGCTGGCGCCGCAAGGCGGAGGATTAGCCTAGTGAGCCGAGGCACCAGCCAATAAACCTGTTTTTAAAAAGATTTGTAGTTAAACTAAAATCCCAACTCCTTAGATTGAGCTCTGAGACCCTGAGTGCTCTGCCTGCCATGACACCTCTGCCCCCTTCATTAACCTCATTTCCTCTCCTCCTCTCTTCCTCCACACTGGTCCTCTTTCACTTCCTCCTTGGGTGGTCCTTACTCCCTTCAGGTCCTTGCACACCTCTGGGATGAGTCATCCCTTCTTTCCCCTGGTTAGGGAAGAAGCAGCCTTGGCTCCTTTGCTTAGTCATTCCTCAGAAGTGCTCACTGACCCCTCACCCACGGTAAAGCCCTGTCTCTCCCTCACCTGATCTCTCTCTCTCTCTCTCTCCTTTTTTCAGATTATTTATTTGAAAGGTAGAGTTAGAGAGAGAGAGGTCTTCCATCTGCTGATTCATTCCCCAGATGGCTGCAGGAGCCAGGAGCTTCCTGGTCTCCCATGTGGATTCAGGGACTCAAGCACTTGGGCCATTTTCTGTTGCTTTCACAGGCACATTAGCAGGGAGCTAGATTGGAAGTAGAGCAGCTGGGACTCACACCTGCCCCCATGTGAGATGCTGGCGCTGCTGGTGGTGACTTTACCTTCTGTGCTGGTACTGTTATTATCCGTCTCTCTTGCACTTCGTGCACTTTAAGCCTATGACTACCTTTCTTTTGGTTTGCTTTTTTTTTTTTTTTTTTAAAGATTTATTTATTTGAAAGGCAGAGTTACAGAGAGGCAGAGGCAGGGAGATATCTTCCATCCGCTGGTTCACTCCCTAAATGGCCACAACGGCCAGAGCTGGGCTGATCTGAAGCCAAGAGCCACGAGCTTCATATGGGTCTCCCATGGGGGTGGCAGGGGC